CTTTGGTGTCAGACACCAGAGCAGCCCGTCCCTGCCCAATGCTCTTGGTCAGAGCCCCAGGGAAAGGGGCAGCTCCACTTTGGGCAGAGCGGGCACCGAGGCACAGTCCGTCTGTCTGAAGCTCCTTCATGCTCTGTTCAGGAAAGGCCAGGGCAGCTGAGAGCTATTCCTGGGGAGCCTAAAAACGTGTTGGCTGCGTCAGCGCCCAGGCTCTGCCCTGCTGTTCGCGTCCACGAGGCCACTGCATGATTCCCGTGGCAGATCCCCGCCGCTGCCTCGCTGCAGGGCTGCGCTGTGCCAGGATGCCGTGCTGCCAGCGGCCCCATTGGAGGCAGACAGACAGACAGACAGACGGGCAGACACAGGCATACGCAGAGGCAGAGCCACGGAGGAGCAGCTCAGCTTCCCTGCTGCTCCACCGGCCCGGACGTGCATCAGTGTCACGGCGAGGGCTGTGACAGCAGGCAGTTATCGCGCTTCCCCGCGCCGCAGGCTGGAGCGGTGCCAGCCCCAGGGCTTTTGTTTCCACATCCGCACGGGCCAGCGCAGCAATTGCAAGGGACAGTTTCAAAGCCATCTCCGGTGGAGGACTCAGGTCCAAAGGCAACATCGACGCTGTCCTCTCCCACCCACGTCCCACCGCTCGCTCCCCTGCCTCCTCGGGCCATGGGAAGAAGGGCATGGGACAAACACGGCCAAGTCCAGGGCAACAACTCCTGAGCTTGTACCAGTCGCACAAAGCAGATGCCCCACGAGCGCTGCCCTTGGCTGCGATCCCACGCACAGCGACTGCCCGCCCTCCCCGTATCTGCTCCCCTGCAGCTGGGAGCCAGAGGCTGAGAACTCCCAGCAGTTGTGTCCACTTTGACACAAAAAGCAGGAGAGCACAGGTCAGGGACTGTAAGGACCTGGCACGCCGCTCCAGGTCGATTGCTGGGAGCAGGGTTTTTCCCGTAATTGCACCGTAGCTTTGCAAGACAGGGCAGTAACAACACTACAACACACCTCAGCTTTCCAGCGCGGGATTCCATAGTCCTACAGGAGAGATTTTTCCCTTCAATTCATGACGTCTCTGGTAAGTCAAGCACTACCATTTCTTGCCTCGCTTGCCTGGAGCTGCAGTAGCTCTGGAGGACTTCAGTTAGCCCGTTTTGTGCCCATCACACCCCAGGCACGCAGCTGCCAGCTCCATGACCGGCTCCAGTGCAGAGTGAGCAGCCCAGCCCAGCCCAGCTCTGCCGCCCCAGGCCCGGGCACCTGCTCAAGGCTCAGGCTGGCAGAGTCTGCAACACCGGCAGCTGACAGATAACGGCACTGCACTGGGCGATATAAGAGTCTGGGCTCCAGAAAATTAAGAGCTGAAAGACCAGTTGAAGAGCTGGGAATACCAAATTTTGGCCGTCTTTGAAATTCCAGCCTTCAAAGGGGACATTTCAGAGCCACGAATTGGTAGCCACCAACCATTTTTCTTCCATCCTTCCCAGTCCACACCAGTCCTAGTTGTCAAGGGGATGGCTCCCACAGGCAGCCTCACAAGAACCAACTGGCAAAGCAGCTATCAAAATCTCCCAGGGGCTGCAAAACCAACGAACAGCCACCCACCTCTTCCCACTCCTACCAACTGGTTGGCTTTCACCACTGCTCAACTTCACCAGGACAGCACCAACCACAGTATCACAGCTGTCCCTTGAACCATTCAATATTAGAAAGAAGAGCTGGAAGGTGCATTTTTCAGGGCAGTTGCAGGTTTAAACCTCTCCAGAAGCCCACAAACGTTGGCAGTCTCCAGCTCCCAACTCGTCTAAGCACAATGGCCTGCAGCACCTTACAAAGCCTCCAGGATTTTGCTACTGTGACATCCACAGCTGGGCTCTCCGGCTGTGCTCAGCACCACATCCAAAATCAGGCAGGAACATTTCTCATTGCCCTCCAGGGCACTTTACCTCTCGCTGCAGTCCCCGGGCTCTGAGCCAAGCGGAGGGGCGAGCCAGCCAGCTGTCTCCCTTCTCCCGGACCTGAGAGCAAGCAGCGCTCTCTCCAGTTGCTGCGAGGATGAGGTCAGTCTCCCCTCGACGCTAAAAGCTCTGCTTGAAAAACTGCTGAGCTGGCAGAAACTGCCACTTTGGTTTTACCCATTTCCTGTTATTAGATAAAACAGCACCAGAGTGCTGAGCTCCTGCCTGGGCTTTTGCCACGTTACAGTTACTGCTACAGCCACTGCCTTCAGCAGGTGAATATTGGCACATCTTGATTTCGACAGGAGCCAGGGCACAGCATGAATTATTTGTGGTAAGGCTGACCTATTTAACAGCAGAAAGCCAGCATTCACCCGAGCCCAGACTCCCCAGAGGCTGCTGGTGTCACCTTACCCCACAGGCTAATACAGCCCCGTCGCTACCTCTGGGCACCTCCGCTCGCAGGGGGTGTGGTGGTAACTGTGCCAGGCTGTTCCTGCCATGATCTCAGCACTTCTCTTGGAGGACAAGTGACACCCCCACATCCCTTTTGATGCAGACTACTCCTAGCCTTCGACTGGCTTCTGTGGATCAGCTTTGATCAGTGTTTTGTGACCACCATAGACAAGACACATAGGAAGCGGAGTGGGGTGAACCCACAGAGCCTCGAAACAGCAGAGAAGTCGCTGCTGGCAGCCCCGTTTCAGGCAGACCAGGGCCAGAGGATGCAAGCTGTGTTTGCAGGGTGGCTGCCAAGTTCTGCAGCTATTCAGGACACCTCTCTGCACAGCTCCTTCTAAGCTCTTGTAGTCTAATATTGGCTCCCATCCTCTGCGCACAGGCCAAGGCAGCCTGGGAAGGGGTATTTCACATCGAGAAGTTGCTGAAGTCTTGGTGATACGTTTCTGTAAACCATCTCAGAATCACAGATCTCCACCATGTCTTTGTGGACCTTACCTTTGTCTGCCAGAGACAGTGTGCTGTTAAAGTACTGCTCCTCCACGGTCCATGCTGTGTCATTGATCTTGTTAGACACCCCACAGGATCCAACGCAGCTCACCTTGATGGCTGTTGAGAGAAAGCACACGTGAGCACTGGGAGAAAGCAAAACCTCAGGTTCAGGCTTGCTTCAAGTGCTGTATGTGAACTTGTGCAGGTCCAGTGCCTCATGGAAACATACACTGGGTGGAAAAACACAGCAAAGGAATCAGGTCACGCTTTCATTTCAGACGCACGTTTTCCCCTTACTCTCAGCACTGTTGCACACTCCCTGCTACCCCAGTGCTATTCCCAGCTGTTACCACCACTGAAGTCCTTGCACTGGCCTCCTTGGACTGTGAAAGTCCTTACCAGCAGTGATTTCAGGTAACCCTCTCTCTCATTTTCTCCCAAATGAACCAACATTGATGGAGGAGAGACGTGTCCTGCACGAGCCCCTTAGCCAGCTAACAAGGTCTGCCCTGTCTGCAGCAGCAGCAGAGAGCTGGACTCTCCAGTGCAGCACGAACAAGCCCAGCTGCTGCTTGAGTTCTCAGCCCACCCATCCTCACGGAAACCCCCAGTCCCTGGGAGCCTTCTCCTGTGTTCGAGGGTCAGTCTTTACTTCAACAAAGCACAGCAGAAGCACTTTGCCTGTTAATGCTTGTCCTGCATCAGGGCTTCTGATCATATTTGATAAGCATGTTGCTTCTCAGCAGCCAGAGACCACTTGAGTGGTTTCCTCCTCCTGTTAGAAACACAGGGCTCACAGCAAAGCCACGCAGCAAAGTCTGGAAGCATCTGAGATGCCACTTGACCTTCCCAAAGCAAGGAGAGAAATCTGAACCATGTTTATGCCTTGCCTTGGGAAAGTCACCCCAGAGTTTGCCCTGCACCGCGGCTTTCAGAAGGGCCACATGGCTTTCAGAAGAGCTACCCACAAGATATTTTCAGTTAGTCTTGGCCAATTCACAGCAGGTTGAAATCAAGCTCTGATGTCGACACTGGACCACGGAGGCAGACAGACTGGCCTTGTTGCACAGCAGGAGATGTTCTGTGGTGCTGCCCCCAGGCAGCGAGGACGCAGGCGGACCTATCGCAGCACAAACTGGGCCTTCAGGGTTGTCCCAGCATGAACATCTCCTGTCCTGATTCTCACCAGGTTTTGCAACAGCTTTAATAGATCCCACAGAACTCCCTCACCAAATTTGTCAGGTGCATAGCTCTGTTGGCAGGAAGGCAGCAGGAACTACCAGACAGATTCTTCTCCCGTTTCACCCATCTGTTGCCCTGTATTCCAGCCACATCTCACAGGAAGCATCTCCTTGGGAGGCAGGTGGCCAACTGGCGTTGGCTTAAGGCTCCACAAGCCTTCTCAGCCACGCTGGTCTCACCACCTCCACCCACCTACCCAAACACTGAGGGCTGCAAGTGATGCTGCTTGCAGCCACCTCAAACAGCTCTCCAGAGCACCTGCCTGGCCAGCGTGACCACGGCAGGGTGGAAAGAAACCCCAAACCCAACCCTCCCTGCAGGGGGAACGCATGGTCTTTACCCCAGTGCCCTCACCCGTGCTTTGCTACATGCACTCAGGAGGAGTGGGGTCCTCAGGGCTTAAAGTCCCTAATCCCACAAGGAAGGACAGCCTCTCCCCATCAGATCTGCTGCAACACCTTCACAGTCTGGTCATGACTTTGAACACCGGGGCCCATCCAAGTGCTGCTTTATACTCAAGGGCAGAGGATAAGCAGCTCCAGATGCCAACTCTCATTAACCAAACATCAACACTGCAGCAAGGCCGACACTTCGGCTCTCTTTTTTGTGCCTGTGACGTGTCCTGGCACTTCCGAGGCAGCGGATGAAGAGGACAGTATTGCCTGCAATGGCAGCTGCCTGCACCAGGGCACACAGCACATCTGGTCTGAGCTGACACAGGTCCCCTCCCAAAGCAAACCATGACACTGAACCCCCTGCACACCCCCGGTGACATCTGATGCTCTCTTTTGGCAGATGGAAGAGCCAAAACCACAAAGGGGTTTCAGCATCAGAAGGAACAGGGAGCAGTTTTAGCAGGGTGGCATTCTGCGTACCCAGGTGTTGGTACCAGCTCTCATGCTCCCACTTTGGATATACTGCTATGTCTCTGGGCTCATGACGAGCCTGCCCTGCTCCAAGTTAGCCCAAATAACTCGGATGGCTCAAGTCAAATGAAGCCCAGGCTCAAACGCTTCACTCTCACATTTTCACGCAGGAGATGGAAGTGAGAAAAGCCCAACCAAGAACAGGAGAACATTCACATCCTCCAGGAGCAACAGCCCCTGAACAGGCTCCCCCTCAGCCTCCCTTCACCACAGAAGTTTATAGATCACCACCATCTGTTGCAACGCCCAGATAAGGGGATGATGGTCTCGAATTCAAGCCCGCTTGCTGCATTGCGGTGCTGAGGCCACTCCTGTTCCTGGGAGACAGGTGCGTGGGCATGTTCAAGCACATACACGCTATGGCCCATCTCCCTTCCCACAGGAGACAGACTCAGCAACGGGTTTGCAGCCTGACACTCAGAGCCAACCCTTGCCTGGTAGTCCCTGCTGCAATGGTGGACCCCCCGAAAATCCACTATTAGGTCTAAAGTCACACCATGTCTAGAATTCTCACTGCAGCTAACTAAAGAGTTCTCCATCACAGGCCCAGGAGCTGTCAGCTCCAAGGCTTCTCAATTAACCACTGACATACCAGATCGATGCAGCCACTGGCAACCTGTACCTACAGAGGAGGGACAGTTCCTGGGAGGAGAGCTCTGGGGCTCCCGGACATCCCATTCCTGTGTCCCCACCAAGAGCAGCCATCTCCAGCCACATTCCTGACCATGATGCACCCTGGGGCTGCCATGCCAGGTGTGTGAGGGCAACCGGAGGGGCAGAAAAGAACATTTCAAGCCAAAAAGCTTGAAGGCAGTTTCACAGCAGTGGAGAAACTCTCTCCCTTATCCTCTACACTCTTCAGTCACCAGCATACCATTACCAGCACACCAAGTCACCAGACGTAAGACAAGGACAGGACTCAGAGCAGTTCAAGTGGCAGATGATTTGTTATGGAGCATCTTCTCCAAACCTACTCCAGAAACGTGAGCTCCTCTCACCTCACTGGAGAAGAAACGGGACGGATGACAGCTCTGAGCAGACACATTGCCCTGCAGCTGGGAGCAGGGCTGTGACCGGATACAGGGATCGCATGTCCCAGCTCATCCTGCAGGCTCCTGGACCTCCTGCGGGCTCCTGGAGGAGCCAGCAGATCCCCGGGTCCTCACAGGGTGGGTGATGCTGGGGGCAGCAGGTCCAGGGCAGCCAGAGAGCTCCCCCATTTCATTCCCACAGCTGCAGCAGGAAAGCCTGGCAGCTGCAGGGCTCTCATTCCCCCAGCTTATCCAGGAGATTTCAGAGGCACCTGGTTCAACAGGTCAAATCGTTTACGGCTCCTGGAGGAGCCAGCAGATCCCCGGGTCCTCACAGGGTGGGTGATGCTGGGGGCAGCAGGTCCAGGGCAGCCAGAGAGCTCCCCCATTTCATTCCCACAGCTGCAGCAGGAAAGCCTGGCAGCTGCAGGGCTCTCATTCCCCCAGCTTATCCAGGAGATTTCAGAGGCACCTGGTTCAACAGGTCAAATCGTTTACCTTATTCCTAACCAGGTTTTGGAGCAGCTAACCATGATATCAGCCCCTCCATGAGCATCCCATGGGCAGAGGAAGATACCAGAGTCTTGCCTGGCTGTAGTGTACGGGCTCCTGTGGGACGAGGGACATGGGGCAGCTGACGGGCACAACCCAGGCACGTGGCGCCGGGGGCAGCTGCAAGCTAAAAATGGTGCTGGCGGGACGGGTCTGGCAAAGTGGCCCCATCGGAGCTGCTGCAACTGGAGCCACCTGAGGTGCAAAGCTTGTCAGCCTGACTGTCAGGAAGCGAAAGGCACAGCCCGAGCCTTTCCAAGGAAACCTCCGTGCCAAGCTGCAGATAGAGCAAATAAGAAAAGTTTCTACATCAGAACAGGCCAGTTCCAGTTACTGGAAACCCACTAAAACTGCCTCTGGAAGCCAGGGCTACCAGTGGTCCCAGTTACCACGCTCCTCCTCCCTGTTTACCCAGGCTGCTTTGAATAAATATAGAAAAAGAAAGTCTAAAAACGGTAAGGGAAGTGGAAAGGGGAGGCAAAAAGCAGCAAGCAGAGAAGAAATGAAGGACGAAGCCATGCAGAAGACAAGAGCCCTTCACCCCTGCAGTCCCCAGGGATTCAGGGAAGCGGGCAGCTTCGCATCCACCCAGACCCATCTTTAACAAGGCACTACAGCACGTGCCAAACACTGGAAATAAAGGGATACAGCTCAGCCATATCCATCTCTGCACAAAGCAAAAATAGAGATGCCAGGAGCTGGGCACGTCTGCCTTCTTCCAAGGTGATTTAAGGAGAGCAGCCGCAGATTTCAAATCACTTTTACTCGTGACCCAGTGAGCTGCCCTCCTCGGGAAGAATGGCATTGCATCTCGGGCAAGGGGAAAGCAGAGGACACTCATCCCCTTCCCTGCCAGCAGCAGGTTGTACGTGCACATCCCTGCTTCCAAAATCCAGCCACGAGTGCGAGCAGAGTCTCAGCTGCCTCCCTGCACTTAGCAGCAGGGCCAGCCCCAGTCCCAGGTGACCCCCTCCAGCTTCAAGTCCCATCTACATCACGCACCCGCTGCAACAGATACAGGCAACAGACAGCGGTGGAGGAAGGAGATGCCGACAGCTTGGCTGCTTTAGGTTTTCTAAAGCTACACCAGTCTGGGGTGGTGGCTGTTGCATTTGGTAGCGGCTTACCCAGGACAAACAGACTGTCCGTCGTTCCCTCTCCTCCACAAGGACGGCCAAAGAGCTGGCAACTGAGCTCTGAACCGGCACTTGTGAACAGCCCCGGGGGTTTTGCCGGCTGAAGCCCACTCGAGGCAGCACGTGGGCTCGGACCCAGAGGCTCCAGCCATCCCTGCTGCAGGGAACAGGGTGCCCGGCCCTGCAAGCGTGGGATGAGATGGATGGCAAAGCCGGCTTGTGCATCTGCA